ATGTGTATGTGTTTGTGTATGTATGTGTTTGTGTTTGCGTTTGTATGTATGTAAGTATATATGTGTTTGTGTATGTATTTATATATGTGTCCATTCTATTCACTCTTGCTGCTGTTGTTGTTATCAATTTCAATAATGAAACTCATTCTTCGGTAATAATTACACAATAATGGCTCGCATCGTGAAATAGATGTTATCTAGTGAAAAGTTAAAATCATACATACATTCGTATTCATTATTGTATATCGTTTGTAACAACTTACATAGGCATTTATGTAAATACACATGTATGCGCCTGTATGTATATATATTGTGTGTATGTATATATGTTTGTTTGTTTGTTTGTTTGTTTGTTTGTTTGTTGGTTTGTATGCATGTATGTTTGTATGTATGTATGTATGTATGTATGTATGTATGTATGTATGTATGTATGTATGTATGTATGTATGTATGTATGTATGTATGTATGTATGTATGTATGTATGTATGTATGTATGAACCCATAATTGAATAGAACTATAGGGAAGTAATAATCATATCCGGGTTCAGCTTTAATCTATGTTAAACGCTTCGCACAGACAGGTATTTTAACGCTCCATCCAAAATACAGAAAGAATTATATTTTTGAAGTAAAATAGAAAAGGATTGCTTTACATAACTCTTATCTAATGGGTCACCCGATACTTCTACAATCCTGCTACAGAGTTCATTCAGAAAACTCTGAGTCTGAGCATCGGTTGGACCAAAGGTCTCAATGCAGACTGGCTGAAAAATTTTGCTTTCTGCAAGAGCCGCATATTTTGAATTTTTAAAGTCTGCGGCTCTTAAAGCAGTGGCACCCGCCTCCTGTGAGGTAAGATTAGTGTACCTTTCAGCCATGGTGTGAGGGAACGTAACATCCCAAGCAAGGGAACGTCCCTGCGCCCATGGTGAAATAGTATATCCATCGGGCCTGAGGCTACCTTCCTCCATAAGACCCGTGGGTTCTTTAATTGTGGGTATGTTTGCCCTCTGAAAGCATCTGACCAAAAAATTCAACATTGGCCCCACATAAACAAACATACTCGGTTAAAATGGGTAAACCGAGTCTCAGTCCCAAACTGACACGAACACAAGAGTCGTCCAGCCTGGTACCACAGGTGGAATTTGGGACCGCCTTCAACCAAGATGATCCCAACTCACTTTTTACAGCCATTATCCTGGCTTTATCAAAATTTGATTGCTTCAAGTCCAGCAGCTTAGCAACTGAGTTGCTGATAAATGGAGCGTTCCACTCCTCTTGAGAACGGATTTCGATACAATATGTTGCTGTATGGGCTGCTGTATGTATGTATGTATGTATGTATGTATGTATGTATGTATGTATGTATGTATGTATGTATGCATGCATGCATGCATGTATGTATGTATGTACACGTTTATATAGGTATACCTATAAAAATATATATTTATACAAAGGCACCATATACAGTTTGTTCATTGCATACGCGCCAGCCAAAGATGACGAATATTGTTAATTTCAATCGTAACTGTTGTTATGAAGATAAAATGATGATGATGAATGATGACGACGATGACGATGGAGCAAACTGGTGATGATTCAATAGGCATACATGGATGTATAGACCAATAC